CCATAAGAAATGAATTCAACTGATTATTTAATGTTGTTTTTATAGCCAATAATTTAAGCTTTGTTAGGTCCAGGTTTAATATGTGCAATAAGTTCATAAGTTTTGCAATAAACATTGAACCAGTCCGGCCCTCGACTAGTACCCATTTTTTTTTATTTTGGCCCACTGTGTATTTGAGTTTGACCCCCCTGCTCTAAAGGAATATGACACAAAATCAAACTAAATGTGTGTTTTATGGAACACATTGTAAATCAGGGGGTTTCAGTCTGCTTCTTCCAGCGCAGTTGAACATCTGTAGCGGCACCCAGTTTAGTTTCCACCTAGGCATAAAAAAAAAAAGAGGTATAAAATGTTATATTGAACATATGATTATTGATTTAAAGGGGTTTTATCAGGGAGGATTTGTGATTTTCCGAACATTTGAATGACTCCGTACAAGTTGTCAGGAATTCGTCAAAGGTTAAAATGTGAACAGTCACCGTTTTCAAGATTGAATCCAACACAGCTTGATCCGTCATGTCCACAGAGTCGTCAGCCGTCAGCTTCACTTCAATCCAATACTTCTTACTTGGCTCTTAAAAGAAAAAAAGGGACAATATATTTGCCTATTTTAAGGAATAGTAAAACATTTTTGGGAAGTAAGCTCATCTTTACCAAGAGTAGGAGAGTCTGTTGGTGAAAGTTAATGAGAGTAACTATAGTGGTGTCTCTTTATGAACTACATAAAAAACGGTATATTAAACAAATCCTGCATAGTTTATTTTATTTTTGTGCTGTGCAAATGTATACACATATATATCCTATCGGTTTTGTCTAAAAGAATTTATGCTGCTTTTTATATATGTATTGATGTACAGCACTTTGGTCTATATAAATAAAGTTGGATTGGATGTGTAAAATATCATATAATGGGGAAATAATGTCCCTATTCCCCTTTAAAAAATCTTAATTTTTCATATACAACTCATATCAGTAGCATTTCTCATAACTACACATATTGAGATATATCATATCATCATGACATCTTCAAGTCTTCATTAAAAACTCACCTGTTCAACATGGCCTTTGACCCCTAACCCATCACCGTGCCCCTGCTTCCACTCCTACTGCTTTTTATTTAATTTTCTATTTGTTATTATTTGCCCTTTTGTTTGTTTGTTCACCATGTAAAGCGGACTTGGGTCCCTTGAAAGGCGCTACACAAATGTAAGCTATTATTATTATTATAATATCAGGTATTACCAGTGTAGCAGAAGAAGGGCAGTTTTTCAGCACAATCCTTGTCTACTATTCCCAGAGGTTTGCTGTTGACATCCAGTGCGGCACAATCAGCGACTCCCAAGAGTTCCTGAGGTCTCCAGGGTATGAAGGATGCTTCCCTCCCATCGGACCACGCCCAGGACTCTGCATTCAGCCCGATCCATGTCCAGAAGCGAATCGGTAAACCCAGCAGCGCCTCGTTGTCCAGCTGGTTTCTAACTCTGGCCAGGTCTGTGTGCCGCTGCCTGCAGTACGCCTGAGCCGAGGGCCAGTCCATGTAGTCCTCATTTAAAAAAATCCTCTCAGAGAGATCGGTTGTGGATTCTGCAAATAATAATAATAATAAAGCTTTATTTATATGGCACTTTTCATACAACACATGCAGCTCAAAGTGCTTTACAAAATGACACATCACAAGTTCAAAACAAACAACGAGAAATTCCCCTCAGATTATTTGTTAAGAACTTTAAAAAGGTAAATGCTGCAACATATAACATTTTATAGAGACAAGGAGGTAAAAGGTATGATAATACAAATTCAATAAAATAAAATAAATAATGTTTTTTCTGGTTTATTTTCAGTGGGTTTTTACATTTTTCAATGAAATGTAACTTTTTAAACCAATGTGTAATTGTGTTTGGACCAAAGAGCATACTTACCGTTGTAGCAGATGAATTGTCTACGAGTGTTGCATTCTGTAGCAAACCACTCTCCAGTTTCTTTCACGACCCCACAATGTTTGGCTCCTTGAGGTTCATCACTCGCCCAGTTCCTGTAGGACGGTTCTCCCTCTTTGTGGTCGTCAGCCTCGGACACTGACCATCCCCAACTTCTCTGCAAACCTATGAAGACGTGTGAGGATTCAGAATCCACGAGACTACCTAGATCCATGAGGTCCTGCACATCGTTGACGGTGGCCAAATCGGTGTGATATTCCCTGCAGTGCTGACGGGCCTCGAGCCACGTTTTGGACATGTCGATGAAGATGTACCGAGGACGATGAAGAGGGAACGCAACGTGGAACAAACCTGTGGACAGGGGTGGAAGAAGTTTTAGGATACTCCCTTAAAGGTCCCATGTCATGCTTTTCTGGTTATTACCCGTCCCCTTGTGTGTTATGAAGGTTTTTCTGCATGTAAACGGTCTGCAGAGTCACAAACCCTCAAAGTACACCCTGTAGCGAGTAAAACTCTAACACAGAAAATACCTGCTGCCCCAGAACGCCTCGTTGGGGATTTTTCTTTTTCCATTGTTTACTTCTTGGGTATGGTGACGTATTTCGGGTATAGTGACGTGACGTAACGTCCGTGGAGCCGTTACGTTTGGACCAATCCGCGGACTTCCTCACACACACACACTCGGCGGGACGTTGCGAGGCTCGCTGCTGCGAGGAGCGGGACACTGTGAGCTGGCTCACTGGTGTGGGGTCGGCGAGACAGCGAGACACCGCGGAATATTATATATATTTAATAATATAATAATAATAAAGATATTGATTGATTTGATTGTTTTGAATTCTACCTTTGTACATTCACATATACACGTCGTTCCTGAATAACTGGCAACACATTTCCTGCGAGTGTAGACCCGTCTTTCTCTCAGCGCCAGCGAAGCGCAGCCCCGTTTCTGGTCGCGGGGAATTCGACACTATGATTACTCGGTATCATGGTGCCGGACAGCACTCGAATAACGAATTAACATACCGGTAGTTTTGATTATTGAGAATGGCGGAACGGTATTTTCCCCTGACTCTTGAGGTGTGGCGTAGCGATACACGTTATATTTATGCGTAATGGTAATCCGTTTCCCCTGCTTTCGCTGTAATAAAACCGAAAAATTACATCTAAATTCATCCTTATAGAGTAAATTTTACTCGTAATTCTTGACAACACTACAAAAGGTGCGGGGTACCGGTCGACGAGAGGGACGTGACAGCCCGGAGCGAGTACGAATATATTGCACAATTATAAGCTGGTCGTGTCATCTTGACTTTCACAACATTCGCGTTCTTCTGTCAATGGTTTATTTTACTGTAAATAAATATTTACAGTTATATGTTCTTTTGTATCGCGCCTGAGGTGGCGGTAGTCGTCCGGAAAAGCGAAGTCACGAAAAAAAATTCGCACATTCGTTTTAATCTCGCGGTCTTTTTATTTATATTATATGGTATAATATCATTTTTCCTTCACGTACAAAACAAACACACAAACACCAAATGTCACTCGTACACGAGTACAACATCCTACAAACACCGTCTAACACTACGGAACTACTGTCCTCCCTCCCCAGCGGCGAAACTTGTGACACCGCGAGTTCCAAAACGGTAGAAGTGTCAGTACTCCCTACTATCTCAAGGTAGTTCTCGGTTTTGACAAACCAAAACAAGTCAGGGTGGTGTCTCTTTGACGCAAGATCCGTAAACTTTACACCTTTCATGGTTGTGGTTGAACCGCTATTGCTCTCTGCCGGGAGGGTTTGACGAGTTGGCCAGTGCGAAACTTTTTACATGTATTCCTTCCCGATTATAGAGTTCATAATAAATAAATTTCGTCGAATAATTGTGTGGTGAGGCACACCCCACTCAGGCTTTACCGGACAGAGGTTTCATGCGTAGACTCATTCGAGTGATTTTTTCAATGACACACCGTTGGGGACTGATATTGATACGATCTTGACCAATCGTTTACCAAGAATTAATAATTTCACAAATGTTGGATTAGTATTGGATAAAATATTTGGGAAATACTTGGATAATATTCCCTATATCAGATTCACATTTCTCCATGGGTTTTGTGAGCGACGAGTATATTGGCCGACCGGGATACACGCTACTAATAATAATATATTCATTAAATGATATCATATTTGCACGTTAATTGTATAGAACCGGTCGATCGCAAAAAAAACGTCCGATCGATTGTATGAACCATTTAAATGTAATTAATACCTGCAGATACAAAGGACACTATAAAAATTACCGAGAAAAATGACGTGACAACAAAATGATAATACCGACGACCCAAATAACATAAAAACATTAAACCTTGTTGTTA